TAGCGCTGCAATGAAAATCTAAACAGAAGGCAAAGAAAGACACATTGAAATGCATTTAAAATGCATGCTTTTGTTCAGAGGAAAAAAGAACATCAAATACTGCACAGAGAGATACAAAACTATAAACTTATTTCTTTGTTGTTTGGCTAGATGAGTCATATTTGGATTATTTAATTAATACAATACGAGAAGAGTCTTAATATTTTTATTGCATTAACTAAATACAAATATATGACTCACATTGTGTAATATATTACAATCATCACAACAATTTGCAAACACGACATTGAATGAATAGAATTTCACAGGTGTTTCTCAGTTCAGGCGTTAGACTTTATGTCACACTCCTCTATTTGTCATTCTAGAGTTGTGTAAATTGCACTAGGCTACCATAAAACGATATATCATCAAATGTTTGACTTTTTCTCTGACACTTCCCTGTACTTTATTTACACTAAGCGCCTAAAACTTGTGAAGGAGGACCACCCTTTTTGACGACTTAAAAATTGTTGGTCACCTTACTGTCGAGTTCAATATAAGTTCATACGCATTCCCAGGTGAATCTCCTCACACATATTTCACACTTGGTCATATAGCCATACATATGAATTCTTACTATCCGAGTGATGTTACACCTTCATAGGGACACAACTTTGATCACAAACACTTTGTTTAAAGTAAGCCAGTTTTTGTAAAATAGAAATAGCCTACCCTTACCAAAAAGTAGTATACTTCAAGTTTATTTTAGCAAGTATACTTAAGTAAAGTTCAAGTATATTTTTAAGTATACTTTATGTAGTAAGTATACAAATATCAGTGTACTAGTAGTATACTTGTAAGTGTACTATTTCAATACTCCTTGGGACTAAATTGGCCCACTTTTTAGTATATAAAAGTATACTTTAAGTATAACAGTAGTAAACTTTGAGTACACAACTAGTTTACATCAAAATGTTTAGTTTGTACTGCAACTATACTAAAAGTGAACTTATAGGTATACTGATAGTTTACTAATTAAATACCTGTAGTAGCATTTTTAGTACACTTTGAAGTATAGTCTCAGTAAACTACTCATTTAGTAGTTTTATGCTGCAAGTATACTCGTAAGTTTTCTTTAAGTGAACTTTACATCATACTTTAAGTATACTACTATGTCCCTGTTTAGGTATTAGTTTGTGTATATTTTGTTACATGAATATCAGAACATACAAAACATCAAAAGAACAGGGTATCTGCTTGTAAACAAAAAATTAAAAAAAAATTTAAACACTTGAATGTGGATAAGTTTCATAAATATTAGCGCCCCCTACCGTATAACAATGAAAATACGGATTCTAGGAGCACAATTATAGCTAAAATATATTTAGACTTTTTCTAAGTATAAGTCAAGTATCCTTAAATGTCATTTTAAGTATATTTCTGAGACGTACATAAAAAGTAGACTAAAAGTATACTTTCCTATTTTTAGTTTAAAAGAAGTATACTAATAGCACACTTGAATAAACTTCTTTTTCGTAAGGGTACTCCTGCAGCGAAGCATGAAACTCTGGTTTCTGGCATATAAGCTGAAATAATGTGAGCCAGAATGGGTGGAGCAGATGTTCAGGAGTGGAAAGCCATGCAGACCAACTTAGGCAATGCATTTCAAGACCTCTCAAAATTAGTTTGTAAAACAATTAGATGAGTGTTGTGTTTTAAATCAAGCAATTCAGCATTTTGTTTAAGAATATATAGCATAATTATTTATGCATCAAGCAACATATCAAATAATAAAGAGTTAAAAATGCTTCTGATTCTGCTCTCTGTCACGATCTCGCTCTGGGAGGAACGAGGAGATGCAGGAGAATACTTCAACTAGGAGTTTAATCAAACAAGCAAAGGGGTACAATCACTGGAACTCAAGGATGATATATAACAGTGGACTCAGACTCAGGGAAACACAGGGTTTAAATGCAAGGGGAAAACGAGATAATTAATCAAACACAGCTGGATACAAATTAACACAATGAGGACAGGAACTAAACCAAATAAGGGTTTTTTTTTTTTGCACAAATGCACTTATTACTATGTTACTGTATTACTAGAACATAAGGAATTTGAGTGCACAAAAGTTCTTTCAAAAAATCTATTAGACCAAGAATCAAAAACTTATGAATACTATTTTGGCACTAACTTCACTATGGCAAAATATCTACTTATAAAATTCAACTACATCAAATCCGATTTTGATCTTTATCTCAAACATATTCAAACCATACAGTTGGCTGAAAGCTGTGTGAATGTGTGTGTTTGCCTTTAGAGAGTGAGGCAGTGGTTTCTCACTCCTCCTCCTTGGATAAGCCACTACGCCCATCCATCGTTCCCTCCCTCATTTATCCAAATAAAAGGATCACGGGTCATCTGTTCCTCACTTCTCACTCTCTCCAGCCAGAGAACAGAACAGCAAGCCTCCTCTACAATCATGTCTGCTTCATATGGTTACATGTCCTCTGGAGGATCCATGGGAGGATCCCGCATGTCCATGTCCGGTGGTGGTAGTCGTGTGTCTGGCATGTATGCAGGCAGTATGCACGGGGGAGCCGGAGGATATGGAACACGTATCTCCAGTGCCTCTGCTTCTCGTTCCTTCTCTGCTGGAGGAGGTGGTGCTGGTTTCGGTGGTGGTGCTGGTTTCGGTGGCGGTGCTGGTTTCGGTGGTGGCGCTGGCTTCAACCTGTCTGATGCTGTTGATGTGTCTGCAAATGAGAAAGCCACCATGCAAAACCTCAATGACCGTCTGGCCACCTACCTGGAGAAGGTGCGCTCCCTCGAGAAGGCCAATGCTGATCTTGAGCTGAAGATTCGCCAGTTCCTGGAGAGCAAGACATCCCCCTCTGCTCGTGACTACAGCGCCTATTACGCTACTATCAGTGACCTCCAGAACAAAGTATGTGGTCTTGTCAGAAAGAAAAATTTAAACAGCATTTGTAACTACAGGTGTATCTTTTTGTTAACTTATCTTTATATGAATAATGTGCTAAAAATAACGCAGCACTGTGCAGTTTAGTGGAATGAACATAGAAGTGATTTTTGCACAAGATAATGGTTTAAATCTTAGATTTTTGTAAATACGGAGATAAATGTATGGAGACGGATGTAATTAGGACAAATAAGAGATATTTTACAACTAAACTCAAATAAATCCCAAGAGGTATCTAAATTTGTCTATATTCTTGTGTCCTGAAGATCCAGGATGCCACACGTGTAAATGGAGGCATCTACCTCAGCATTGACAATGCCAAGTTGGCTGCAGATGACTTCAGGGTCAAGTAAGTCCACATAACTAAGAGAAAAGCTGACTATAAACATCTCAATTGGGCCTAAGTGTTTACTTAAGGGTTTGATTTCTGTGCAGATATGAGAATGAGCTGAGCATGAGGCAGTCTGTAGAGGCAGACATTGCTGGCCTGAGGAGGGTGCTGGATGAGCTGACAATGTCCAGATCTGACCTGGACACTCACAGTCTCTCCTCCTGCTCAGTTTCTATGGTACAAGGCATTTCATATCCAACTTTTATTTCTTCACTTTAAAACTTCTATCAGCTTAAGCTTAATTATTAAAGAGCTTTCTTGTTCTCATATCAGGCAATCAAAATGTACTGTCTTAACGTCTGCGCTAAACGTTGTTCCCCTTTTGTTCTGGTTTCTACTTATTTGTTTTTGTACTTTGTTCTTGTCGCCATGGCAACAACACTATGGTCTTTATACTATATACAAGCATAGTGTAAAGAAAGATTTAATCCAAACAAAATGCCTCACTTGAGATGAATAAACAACTAGGATTTTGAATACTTAGGCTTATAAGTTATATAAATACCTGTTAAATTGTATTTTTAATAACAAGATATTAAACATTCTATTCTATATTCTTGTATGTACATATGAGAAACCATATTTTCAAATAAAAAAAATAATTAAATGTTCTATTCTATATTTCTGTGTGTATATAACTGACACAGTAGCCGTGGCTTTGCTGCAGCTTGTTTTCTGGGTGTGTCTCGGTATTGGCACCCTGAGGGCAGAAACTCTCACTTTTCTAGTTCTTGTATTTGCAGCACTGTTTTCCCCTCAGGTTCAAAATGTTAATCTTGTGATTTTAAGAAGAAAAAAAAGATGAATAAAAATTGTTCATATACTCATGATATACTATGTAAAAATGCTAAAATCAGATGTGTTTCAGCACATAATGTTAAAGTTGGATTTATGCATTTTTATGAAGATCCAGGATGCCACTCGTGTTAATGGAGGCCTCTATCTGAGCACTGATAATGCCAAACTGGCTGCTGATGACTTCAGGGTCAAGTAAGTATAGCAACCTAAACAAAAACCATTTGTAAAAGGCCCAAAGTATTTAAATCCGTTTCTTTTTTGCGCAGATATGAGAATGAGCTGAGCATGAGGCAGTCTGTAGAGGCAGACATTGCTGGCCTGAGGAGGGTGCTGGATGAGCTGACAATGTCCAGATCTGACCTTGAGATGCAGATTGAGGGTCTAAAAGAAGAGCTGATCTTCCTCAAGAAGAACCACGAGGAGGTAAGTTGGTGCTTGATTGACAGTCTTCAATAAACCTGTTATTCTTCCTGATGAGGGACATGCTCAGTGGTTTTTATTGCATCTTTAGGAACTCTTGGCAGCACGTGCCCAGATGAGCGGACAAGTCAATGTAGAGGTAGACGCGGCACCACAGGAAGACCTGACAAAGATCATGGCTGAAATCCGTGAGCACTACGAGGCAGTTGCTGCCAAGAACCGCAAAGATCTTGAGGCCTGGTTCCAGGCTAAGGTAATGTTTTTTTTTTGTTGTTTTTTTTTTAAAGGGCGATGTTTTAATGAAAATCAACAAAAGGTCTTACTGCTTTGCTGCCTCTCATAGAGTGAAGCAGTCAACAAGGACAGTAAGTCCACATAACTAAGAGAAAAGCTGACTATAAACATCTCAATTGGGCCTAAGTGTTTACTTAAGGGTTTGATTTCTGTGCAGATATGAGAATGAGCTGAGCATGAGGCAGTCTGTAGAGGCAGACATTGCTGGCCTGAGGAGGGTGCTGGATGAGCTGACAATGTCCAGATCTGACCTTGAGATGCAGATTGAGGGTCTAAAAGAAGAGCTGATCTTCCTCAAGAAGAACCACGAGGAGGTAAGTTGGTGCTTGATTGACAGTCTTCAATAAACCTGTTATTCTTCCTGATGAGGGACATGCTCAGTGGTTTTTATTGCATCTTTAGGAACTCTTGGCAGCACGTGCCCAGATGAGCGGACAAGTCAATGTAGAGGTAGACGCGGCACCACAGGAAGACCTGACAAAGATCATGGCTGAAATCCGTGACCAATACGAGGCAGTTGCAGCCAAGAACCGCAAAGAACTTGAGGCCTGGTTCCAGGCTAAGGTAAAATCACATTAGTCCAAGTTTGTCATAAGAAACCAAAACCAAATCAAAACCAGTCGACTGATCTGACTGCTTTCCTGTGGATTGTCTCTCACAGAGCGAAACCCTCAACAAAGAAGTCGCTGCAAGCACAGAAAACCTTCAAACGTCCAAATCAGAAATCACAGAGCTTAAACGCACACTCCAGGGTCTTGAAATCGAGCTACAGTCACAACTCAGTATGGTAAGCAGGTGACCAGGTCAATCTTGAAATCTGCTGTTTTGATGCATCACACAGCCTTTAGAATAATGACTTTCTTCTCAACAGAAAGCGTCGTTAGAAGGCACTTTGGCAGAAACACAGTCCCGCTATGCCAGCATGTTAAACGGTTACCAAATGCAGGTGACCAGCATGGAACAGCAGCTGGTGCAGCTTCGTGGCGATCTGGAGCGCCAAGGGCAAGAGTACAGGATGCTTCTGGACATCAAGACCAGACTAGAGATGGAGATTGCAGAGTACAGAAGACTTCTGGATGGGGAGGCTTCTGGGTGAGACATTAACATTCAGGCATTTATGTCCTGATTTGTGAGATTAAGATTCTGAGTTGTCTATAACTTTATGTTTTCCCCCATCATCAGAAGTGTTCAAACCACACAATCCTCATCCACAACCTCAACTACACGCAAAGTGGTCACCATTATAGAGGAGGTGAAAGACGGCAAAGTGATCTCCTCCAGTCAGGCTGTGACCGAGACCAAGTGAGATTTCAAACAAGAACAACCAGCATGAGATGAAACCACTCTTGAGATGAAACAACCCAACTCAGAGTGATGAAAATTCAATAAACTGGTTTAAATGTGCTTTTGTGTTTGAGTCTTATTTTGCTCTCAAATGTTTTAATATGAATCAATTATTTGAAGTTATCAGAAACGTTATTTGACTCATAAAAATAAAGAGCTTTGCCAAGAATGTTTGGCAACACTGGCTTTCTTTAACGTTAATAAAAAAAAAAGAGATCATGCTTTCCACAAAAATATTAAGCAATGTTTTCAACATTGATAATAAGAAATATTTCTTGAGCACCAAATCAGCATATCAGAATGATTTATGAAGGATCATGTGATACTGAACACTGGAGTAATGACTAACGGGGGAAACATTGTTATTGTAAATTGTAATAACATTTCATATTAGTGTTTTACTGTATTTTTTGATCAAATAAATATAGCCTTGGTGAGCATAAAAGTAAAAAAAAATAAAACTTAACAACAAAAAATCATAGAGATCCCTAACTTTTGAACAGTAGTGTAGTTATCAGTTACAATAATAATAAAAAAAAAAAACAATAGGGTGTGAGAAAGTGTGCAGATCCAAACAGTCGCCCATTTCAATACAAATGGCAGTTTTTTTTATTATACACTGCCTATCAATAATTTATATTAAAAAGCCCTGTGTGTGTTAACAGAAAGTCCACTCATATTATTAATGTACAAAATGTTCTGCAAAAAAAAACGTTACCTTTATGGCTACTATGGCTTGTCATGGGCCAGTAGACTTATACACCTCTAGATTTACCTCAAATCTACCCCTAAAGAGTGTATATAAAGTAAGTAATATGCACCTTTTAGAGGTAGATAAGGTATAAAAATAGAAACATAACTTCTGCACATTTATATAGTGCAGGTACTGTTTATGTAACAGATTATTTGGTTTTAACAATCTTACTACAGACATTTTAATTTCAATCCAATGAGATACTGACCTAAATCTACCATATCTGTAGACATGACCATCAATGCATGCTAGATAGCTTGCCCTCAGTCACTGGGGCAGGATGAAGACAACCTTTAGCACTGTACAAAAGAGGTTTACCTTTGTTGTAGCCCTGCTGATTTATTCAGCGTCTTCTGACTGAGGGGAGCCATCCGATTCTTCAATTTGAGACATGAAATTAAAACAGTGTCAATATATATATATATATATATATATACAGTATATACAGAACTCTATGTGGAACCAGCTCCCTTCATACAATCCATAATGGGTATCCTCCTCTGCCACAGTGTAATCTGGACTGGATGTGATGTGTTTTCGTAAGAGATACAAAAGAAGAAAAAGAGGTACATTGATATGTTTTGTTCTTTGACATTTCTCGAGGAGACAAGGTTCCTTGCCACTGTCGCTTTTGGCTTGCTTAGTTAGGGTCTAAAGGACACTTAATACTCAGCAAACTGATTGATATAACTGCACTGACACTAGATGAGAACAAAACTTGAACTGAACTAAGCTGGAAGATTGGCACTGTTGTCTTCTGTAGATCTGCTTTAGTGCTGAATCACATCTTGCAGCATTGACAGTGTTATCCAAATGAATTGAATCAACATTAAACTCGAGCTGAATAACACCATTGCTGGCTTCTGTAGGACTATTTATAACTGAATAGAACTCGTTTGAAACTGATTAACTTTATACTGTTATTTACCTGATCTGAACCAACACTCAACTGACTGGAGCCCAGTAGTGACACTAGTGTCTTTTAGAGCTGCTTTACAGCAGTATCTAAACTGTCTAATTGTAATATTTATACTTTACTTTATACGTTACTGCACCACAGGTTCCCTGTGTTTGTCACTGGACTTTTATGTTGAAGTGTTTCCTGTGCCATGTTTGTAGTCAGTTTGTAGTTCAGCACACATATAGTAGGTAATGAAGAAGCTGATAAATTAGCAAAAAAAGCTCTAAATCACAGTGACAAAATAGATATTCCACTTGGAAAAAATGAAGGAAAATTTTTAATAAAAAAAAACATTGACAAACAGTGGCAAAAAAGTTGGGATTCAGGTAATACAGGAAATACAGGAAGGGAATATTACAGAATTCAAAAATCAATCAAAGTTAGAAAAGTTAATAGTAGAACTAGAAAAGAGGAAATCATATACGCAAGACTACGGTTAGGACATACAAGACTTAACAATACATTATTTCTTATGAATAAAATAAACACTTCAATTGAAAAGAAAATGTAGAGCACATATTAATTAAATGCAGGAAATTCAGAGTAACCGCCAGAAAACTAAAAGAAGAAGAAAAATGCTGCATGCTTACTATTATTGTAATATTTGCTTACCAAAGCTTGCTCTATATTGTTGTAGATCATTAAACCATTACATTGCCTCAGAAGCTTGTCTGAAATCAGCTTTGTGAGGTGCCTTTGTGCACAAACACTGCCTCTAAAGTCATTGCCTGATAAGGCAGCAAAGCAGCAGCCTGAGCAGGCCCGGCTCCAAAATCAAATCACTGAGGGTGCTTCTTAAATTAGTGAGGGTGCTCTCTCTCTCTCTCTCTCTCTATATATATATAAATAACCTAATAATGTAATCTATTAACTATGCATAAAACCTGTTTACTTAATTATAAATATGGATGACATGCCATAACATATTTTTAATACGACTGAGTTTATATTTAATGTGAATTTAACATTGAAAGCTAGGCTACTAATCATAACACTTTCATTGTACAGAAAGAGAGCAAAGAACATTTACATTATCAAAGAACATTTTCACTGACAGTCTAGTTCAAGCACTCTCAAAAACTCCCATTAAAATCACTGAAGCTGTTTACACTATGAAATTAATATCTTACAGATTCGTACACACATTTGCACTTTGTTGTTTCTGACGTTTTAAAAGTCTCCCAAGGTGTGTCTTGTTAAGCTTGTTACCTCTTGTGTATATAGTTGCATCCAAAAGCTGAAAAATGCTGCCGATACACTCTAAAAAAATGCTGGGTTAAATTCAACCCAGTGCTGGGTAAAATAGGGACAAACCCAGCAATTGGGTTGTTTTGACCCAGCAGTTGGGTTACTACCCAGAAGGTTGGGTTAAACATTTAACCCAGCCGCTGGGTCAAAACAGCCCAATTGCTGGGTTTGTCCCTATTTTACCCAGCACTGGGTTGAATTTAACCCAGCATTTTTTAGAGTGTACCAGCACACATATAGTAGGTAATGAAGAAGCTGATAAATTAGCAAAAAAAGCTCTAAATCACAGTGACAAAATAGATATTCCACTTGGAAAAAATGAAGGAAAATTTTTAATAAAAAAAAACATTGACAAACAGTGGCAAAAAAGTTGGGATTCAGGTAATACAGGAAATACAGGAAGGGAATATTACAGAATTCAAAAATCAATCAAAGTTAGAAAAGTTAATAGTAGAACTAGAAAAGAGGAAATCATATACGCAAGACTACGGTTAGGACATACAAGACTTAACAATACATTATTTCTTATGAATAAAATAAACACTTCAATTGAAAAGAAAATGTAGAGCACATATTAATTAAATGCAGGAAATTCAGAGTAACCGCCAGAAAACTAAAAGAAGAAGAAAAATGCTGCATGCTTACTATTATTGTAATATTTGCTTACCAAAGCTTGCTCTATATTGTTGTAGATCATTAAACCATTACATTGCCTCAGAAGCTTGTCTGAAATCAGCTTTGTGAGGTGCCTTTGTGCACAAACACTGCCTCTAAAGTCATTGCCTGATAAGGCAGCAAAGCAGCAGCCTGAGCAGGCCCGGCTCCAAAATCAAATCACTGAGGGTGCTTCTTAAATTAGTGAGGGTGCTCTCTCTCTCTCTCTCTCTCTATATATATATAAATAACCTAATAATGTAATCTATTAACTATGCATAAAACCTGTTTACTTAATTATAAATATGGATGACATGCCATAACATATTTTTAATACGACTGAGTTTATATTTAATGTGAATTTAACATTGAAAGCTAGGCTACTAATCATAACACTTTCATTGTACAGAAAGAGAGCAAAGAACATTTACATTATCAAAGAACATTTTCACTGACAGCCTAGAATTCAAGCACTCTCAAAAACTCCCATTAAAATCACTGAAGCTGTTTACACTGTGAAATGAATATCTTACTTATTTTTTGCACTTTGTTGTTTCTGACGAGAGAATTCGCCAGAAAGAGGTATTCAGTCAGCGAGCAAGTGAAGAAAACACCGGCATTTTAGCGATGACTCATCTGAACGCCTCTGATTGGTCATTGCATTCATAAGCTCAACAGCATCGTGTGTGATTGGTTCATGCGCAGTGCTGTAAAAACTCGTCTGTATCTGGCTCAGCGCCAGCGAACGCAGATTTGAATTTAGCAGATGATGATATGACCCGCTGAACGATTTAATCAGGCCGGTGTGATTGTATAGAAAATATTAATCGGCTATTTTTTTGTCTTTTGGAAGCTGCATTCAAAATCCACTTGGCTCAAAAATCTGAGGGGGCACGTGCTCCCTTACTTTGAATGGGCATGACGTCTCTGAATTTAGGTTACTTTGACCATCGATTGTCCGATTCCAGAACAAATGATTTTAGCGAGTCGGTTCGTCTTAGTGAATTGAAAACATAGGTCAACCAATGTGTTCTGACTCCCGGAACAACGGCGGACAGCAAACGCATCCTATATCAAACGAACCTGTTCTACTGCAACGCATACACACTGCAAACGAAGCATGTGTGAAACAAGCGTCAAAGCTAGATCTCATCTCGTAATTACTAATTACGGTAATTATTATGATATGGCGTAAACGCAGCATCCCTAATCAAATACACCTGAACAAGTTAATCAGGGTCTTTAAGATTAGGCTACGGGCAGGTGAGTTCAGGGCCGTGCAGACTGCAGAGACCTTTGGAGGGGCAGGTGCTCAAAGTATAAAAGGGGCACATGGAACACGGCTTTTAATAGCTGTGCTCCTTGCTGATACGTGTATCGAAACGAATGCTTCTGTATTGATTCAAAGAATTAATATTTTTTGTCAGATAACATATAACCCCTCGACACACTTTAAACTTTTCCCAATCAAACAGCAAGAACGAAAGAGAACAGGCACCTTTGTTTATAAGCTATTGCTGTGCGTAGAACTACGTTAGCTGCATTTTTTATATTTAATAAATATTTAATTTTAATAAAATGTAAATTCATCCCCCGCACTTTATTCAGGCTGGTGTGTTCACGTAGAGGTTTCTAGATTTAAGTTCAAAGAGACAGTATCAATAGTTTATGCATGACCTGACGTTTTATTCGTATCCAAAATGAGGAGATGCGAACATCAGGAGCGCTGAACACTCTCATGCAGTGCATGTTTCATTCATACTCGACGCCAGAGGGCGCTCTCGTGCAGAAAGTCCAAAACAGACTAATAGAAGTAATAACTTATGATGTGCAGGAAATAGCTGTAGCTGAGCTGAATAAAAAGCAGAAACGTTTTTACTGATGAAACGTGAAGACAATAAACACACGATTGCAAAAATAAATGGTTTATGTGTGTTTTTCAAGTTATCTCCAGGTAATAAATAAATAAACTATATGAATAATGCAGTACTGATCGATTGACATATCATTTAGTATAGAAACTATAAAATATATTTCCTGCCTTTTTCTGTGATAAAAATGAGAAAAAGGTGTTCGTAGAAGCCTTTATAAACCAATCATAAAATTGTCATTAGGAAAATATTGAACAAAAATATTATAGCCCCTTGCTGCAGCTAACCTTACTTCCACAGGTTACACAGCAATATAAACAACAGCAAATATTATGGCCCCTTGCTGCAGCTAACCTTACTTCCACAGGTTACACAGCAATATAAACAACAGCTGTACATGCTCTCTTCACGTTGTTCTTGTAAAATTATAATAATTTAATAATATAAGAAAACAAGCACACCGCTCCACTGAGAACTCCACTCACCGGCAGCCGTGGATGTTATTGAAGGCCAGGGACGTGCACAGACATTTTGAGGGGCAGGGGCTCAAGTGGAAAAAAGGGCACTTCTCCTATTTTTTTATTTATTTTTTCTAAACAAAACATTATAAATATATTAGGGGAGTGCGATACTGACAAAAAATATATCTCAATATGAATTTGCTGGTTCCCTTACTTCGGTGCTGGGGCTGGTGTTGTTTGGATGCCGATTTTGGAACGTTTTTGCTGGGATGGGCATTTAAAAAAATCTGATATTCGCTTTTGCGCCATTATCTCCTTGTATTAAAGTTAATCTTGTTCGCATTCTGTACAGTTCATGTCTGATACCACGCGCTAGCGTGTGTTCATGAGGATTAGGCTAATCATCCCATATAGAAAACATCACAAGTAAAATTAACCATGTTTATAAAGACAAACATGGGTTTATTATAGCCCACTTACAATTTACATTTTAGAGATCATTACAAATAAATTATTAAATGCTAAAACTGAATAAATTTAAATTCAGGCTGAACAACTGCCATGTAGAACAGGGTCGATACCAGAAAAATCTACTTAAGTACAGTAACAAAGTATTTGTACTTTGTTACTTCTCATCTCTGGTCGCTATATTATGTTACCTTAATTATTATTACATGGCGTGAACGCAGCATTCAGCTCATCCAACCCCAATCAAACACACCTGAACAAGCTAAGCAAGGTCTTCCAGTCAGATTACTAGAAAGCTACAGGCAGGTGAGTTTGATCAGGGTTGGAGTTGACCTGATCTCCTTGGATCTTTAAAACCCAATTTTACAGAGGTTGATATTGCAGCAACACGTTTATTCGTTTTAGTTTTGTGTGCTTCGCTGTCCTCTCCTCCGGATGCACCAATTCAGCGCATTTTCCAGCAGAGATCATTGTGAGATCACAGGTCGGGAGGATGACAGCTCGAGTGTATTTCTCGCAAAAGAAAAAAAAAATACTTTATTCAACAATTCGTCTCCTCCGCATCACCCTGTAAACAACTGCGTCACACGGATACGCTGTTTCCGTTCCGATCAAATCACAACAACGTAGGAAACAGATCCGGTGTGACGCAGCTGACACAGAACAACATACGTTGTTTACATCCAGCGGAATGGGAAGCGGTTATGGTCAGGGAAGTGGTCAGGGGAGCGGTTATGGTCAGGGAAGCGGTCGGGAGCAGTTATGGTCAGGGGAGCGGTTATGGTCAGGGAAGCGGTCAGGGAAATAGCCAGGGAAGTGGTTAATGTCAGGGAAGCGGTCAGGGGAGCGGTCAGGGTATTCAGCGCATTTTCCAGCAGAGATCATTGTGAGATCACAGGTCGGGAGGATGACAGCTCGAGTGTATTTCTCGCAAAAGAAAAAAAAAATACTTTATTCAACAATTCGTCTCCTCCGCATCACCCTGTAAACAACTGCGTCACACGGATACGCTGTTTCCGTTCCGATCAAATCACAACAACGTAGGAAACAGATCCGGTGTGACGCAGCTGACACAGAACAACATACGTTGTTTACATCCAGCGGTCAGGGAAATAGTTATGGTCAGGGAAGTGGTCAGGGGAGCGGTTATGGTCAGGGAAGCGGTCGGGAGCGGTTATGGTCAGGGGAGCGGTTATGGTCAGGGAAGAGGTCAAGGGAGCGGTCAGGGAAATAGCCAGGGAAGCGGTTAATGTCAGGGAAGCGGTCAGGGGAGCGGTTATGGTCAGGGAAATAGCCAGGGAAGCGGTTATTGTCAGGGGAGCGGATATGGTCAGGGATGTGGTCAAGGTCAGGGATGTGGTCAAGGTCAGGGATGAGGTCAAGGTCAGGGATGTGGTCATTGAAACGGTCATGGGAATTTTGCATAACACCTACTGGAGATCTTTTCAATTCAGTGCTTTATTCATATGGCATGTTTTCCCTGTTTGCTCAAACAATTT